TGTGTGTGTGTGTGTGTAAGCGTGTGTGTATTTATGTGTGTAAAAATTCAGTGCGTGTGTGTCTGTAAAAATTCAGGTATAACTAGAAATCTATCTGTAAAAAGACAATATGAATAAAGACAAAAGGAAAACTTTTTTTAGTCGACGCGTTTCGTTCATCAGACGACTAAGAAAAAAAAATTATATGCTTTGTGTGTATGTAGGGTGAGATAGAAAAAATTTTGATATACAAATGAAAATAACACAGAAAATGAAAATAACACAATAAAAATTATTATCGTACAAAAATTTGTTACAAAAATCACATAAAAAATCACCGAAAACAATTGCAGTAATGAAAATTTTGGTAATCCAGAATTTCAGGATTGCGGGGCAATCCGGCCCAGAGTGATTTTAATTTGCTCACGGAGTCGGCCTGATTCCAAAATGGTATGATATATATATATAGGCTACGGCTTCTAGGAGTAAAGTTGAAAATGTGTGACACACTGACACATTGACATTCACATTTATTATATAAAAGATATTGAAGTGGTAAATATCGCTTATGTACCACGTACCATGTGACTTACCTCTCCAGGAGGTGGGTGATCACGGCTCTCCACAATTTCCTGTTCTTTGTATGTCTTAGTAAATGTCTTTTCGCTCCCTCTCCTAATCCCGGTTCTGTCGACCATTGACACAAACTTATGAGGTATTTTTATATGCAGTTTTCTCTATCCCTCTCACCTTTAATCTATCCTGTTTGTGTGAAATTTGCCAAACCCTCCTTCCTCATTATTTCAACTCTTTCCGATCCTAATTATGAGTGGGTTTTTTGTTTGCATTTTCTCTAGAAATTCGTCATTGCTCACATGTTCAGTCAACGGTATTCTCAGCATTCTTCATTAGAACCACGTCTCCGTTGGCCCAAGACTTTTTTTCATCTGTCATGGGATTGTAGTGAGCATTCACTGCCATACAGGAGGACCGATATTATATAACACTTCAGGACACTTTTCTTTGTTTCTAGCGAAATTTTTTCTTAATACTTTGCTTAGCTTTTGGAAGGCATCATTCGCTATCCCAATGCACCTCCGGATTTCGTTGTCGCACATTCCGTTCTCCGTTACAACATTTCCTAGATATTTGGGCACCTCAACGCAGTGTAGTGATTAACAAGCTTGTCTCGTAAGCACAACTACGACTTAGTAGTGAGTTTGATCCTTACTGGGTGCTCCCAAACTTTCAGCCTTGTGCCACATCTAAGCTACGCTTAGAAAATTACCATTTCCTAGATATTTAAATTTTTGTGCTTGATGGATTTTGTCGTCTTCAGTATGCTGGCGCAGTAAGTCTGTTTTGTGCATCTGTTTTGGTCGCAGAATGTTGCCATATGACCATCTTGACTACATCTGTAACAGATAAATTCCAATACTGTACTCATTGAAGTCTTTCATGACACATGAAGCACTGACTGCTAAATATCTATCTCCTTCCTCTTGGCGCCTCGCCGCTAACAGCTTGTCACCTTCTGTCACTCGATCTAACCCCTACCGCCATCTCAATGTGTTTCATCTTATGAAGAGTCCGTATCTTAACTCCGGTTATCACATCAATAATGTGCATAATTTTTTTTGTTTTTTTTTTATATTTGATAACTGTTGAAGAGTTACTAAGATGCGATCCAGGGAACTAGTTTACAAATGTCATCTTCACCAGCCTCTACAACTGTTTACCTTCGAACTCGGCTCTCATTGTCGTCCTCCTAATCTCGTTGGTATAAACGTATATACAAAGTATTATTTGTTCGCTTGTCCACGTCCCCCTTCCCAGCATTCTACAGGTTAAAAAATACTTATTCTGTAAATCCCTCCTTTAATCTGGTCTTAATCTTTTTCGTTCTGTATTTTATTGGTCTCTACCTACCAATGTCTGTCATTTCAAATATTAGAATTGTTTTGCAACACGCTAACGCGTGTAGAAATCCTCATTGTATTTAGTATTGTTGAAATTTGTCTATATACCAGGCGGCATTTAAGCTAGATCTTGCGGAGGGCTCTTAATCACAATAGGCAGGGAGGAGTAGATGCGATAGGCAAAAATAAACTAAAAAAGAACTCCAAATTGATCGCTGCATTTAAGTATCGCATTAATATTTAAGCTTACCTTTTACATGTTCATCGATAATTCTTCTGTCTCCACTTAATTTAAAGACAATTTGATGTGCGTAGGTCCTTACTTTCCATACAAACAATTATTTTTACTTCATGGGTGACTTGAATTTCGCAATTAATTTCGATTATTCCCAATTTGTTTTCCAAGTTACAAAAAATTCGTCGCAAAAAATTGCCTAAAAAAATAATCGCAGTCCTGAAAATTTGGTAAACGAAAATTTCAGGACTGCGGGTCAGGATCCGGCCAAGAGTGATTTTAATTTACTCACAGAATCGGTCTGATTCCAAAATGGTATGATATGTTGGGCTACGACCTCTAGGAGTGAAGTTGAAAGGTGTGACACACTGACGCACTGACATTCGCATTTATTATATATATATACACAGACATGACAGAATTGAATAGACGCTCACAGAAACCGTTTATTTTATTAAACAAGTAATTTATACAAATGAAGTAATTATAAATGGTCATAAATTTAATAACTAATACTTTGTTGACATCCCTTTTGCTTAATGCAAGGACCCTTCTAGGCATGCTAGCGATGAGTTCACGAATATCATCTTGAGGGATTTCTTGCCATGTTTGACGCAATAATCCTAAAACTTCGGGCTTAGAAGATGGCTTCCGGTTCTTTTTGCGGAGTTTTCGATCTAATATGCCCCAAAGATGTTCAATAGGGTTAATATCCGGCCATAGAAGTTTATTGATCCCATTTTGTCTCAACCAATGTTGCGTTGCTTGAGCAGTGTGACATGGAGCTCCATCTTCCATAAATAGGGAGTCAACTTTGCTCATTCTACTGCTTGAGAAAATTGGAAGGAGCCCTTTCTTTAATATAGAAACATATTTAGTTGAATTAATGTTTCCTTCACACTCCACAAGCACTGAGCGACCATCACTCCAAATTGAACCCCATACCATTACTGAAAGGCCCCCACGTTTCACCATTGGCTGCAGTCTTTTTAAATCAAACTCTTGACTACAGAGTCTCCATACCCATACTCTTCCACTGTCAGAAAATAATGCGAGAAAATGACAGTGGTCCAAAAGGTCACAGGTCCCTCCACCATCTCATGAGCCCAATTCTTTCTGCGTTTGATATTGGCTGGACGAAGAAGTGGTTTCCTTCTTGCGGCTCTGCCATAGTAGCCCAGCTTGTGAAGATACCTGACAGCTGTTCTGGGACTGACATCAACTTGTGTTGCTATGTCAGAGGCCTTGAAACGTGGATCCTGTTCAACATTTCTTTCGACAAGACGCATGGTTCTTTCAGATGGCCCAGGGCGACCTGGATGAGGTTTTGTACACTTCTTGCCCTGTCTGGTGAATTGTATGATCACTCTATTAACAGTAGAAAGGGGTATTGAAAGATTTTCAGATATTTTTCTTTGACTAAGACCACCTTCATGTTGGCCCACGATACGTCCTCGCTGAAATTCGGAGGGGGTCTGATGCTCCTTTGGTTCGTGGCATGTTCCAGTATTGTTATCTGCAATTTTAATCAAATAATCGAAGTTAATTTATCTTGGTTATTAAAAAAAATCAGAAATAAAATTTATCTTGGTGTCTATTCAATTCTGTCGTGTCTGTATATATATATATATATATATATATATATATATATATATATATATATATGTGTGTGTGTGTGTGTGTGTGTATGTGTGTCTGTATGTCTGTGTGTGTGTATACACATGTATATGTGGGGAGTGTGTGTCGATGCTGTTTGGCATGGTCTTAACAAGACCCCACTTGGACTTATCATTTTTTCCTTTCTTGAGATCATCTTTGCTTATCTTTTTTGACACAATCAAATTAGATTTTTTGAAAACCAAAAAGTCTAACCATTTTTCATCTCTTAAGAAAGCAAATACAGGTGGGAAAACGATTGCACTTCGACCAAGATTCAAGATGAACTCTCAGGTGGGAATAAGGCGTCGATATTTCGGTGCGCTAACAGAAAATGGGCGGGAAGAGGACGTTTGGAAAAAAAGAATGAAGACGAAGTTGTAGTATAAATAAGGAGAAAAGGAAGAGTGAGACGACAAGAAAGAAAGAAAGAAAGAACGAACTGGACAGAGAGAGAGAGAGAGAGAGAGAGAGAGAGAATTGAGATTAGAGAATGCTTAGCAACAGAAAAAAAAGTTGGAAAATGCGAGATAGCAGAGGAGGAAGATTAACAGATAGATAAAAGTGATGTGGACCCAAAGTTGGGACCACGGAAGGAAAACACGGAACACGGATTAGAGGTAAGAAAGATATATTAAACAAAAAGGTTACAAAGATAGTGTAAGTGTAAGCGGAGCTTACTATGTGCTAGTGTCCAATATTGGTAGTCGTACGCGGCTGATACTACGGTATTAGAATACTCTCTCTCTCTCTCTCTCTCTCTCTCTCTCTCTCTCTCTCTTTCCTCCTCTTCTCTTAGAGTATTATGTCGCATACTTTATATAATCCTGGAAGAGTCCATATTGTAGGTACGTTACGGTCTCACAACAAAAAGATTAAATTCGGAAAAGAAAAGAAGAAAAGCAGGAAAATAAAAATTGCGAAAAAGAGGAGACGAAAATCGGGGTGTGGTATTTAAAAAAAACTTGATTATTACTTTTCTTTTTCTTAATACGACCCTCTTTCTCTTTTCGTTCATCTACATGTGTCTTATTCCTTCAAGTCTCATCTCAATTCTCTCTCTGTCTTTTTCTCTTTATTTCTCTCTCTACGTGCAACTTATTCCTTCATGTCTTACCTCTCTCTTACTCTTTCTTTCCCCTTTTACATGTGCCTTATTCCTTTTTATCTCGTCATAAAGACATCTCTGTCCGTTTTGCTTTCTTTTCATGTCAAAGAAGAATTGAATAGATTATAGAAGAAGAACAAAGAAGGATTGAATAGATTATAGAAGAAGAACGGAGAAGAATTGAATGGATTATAGAAGAAGAACAGAGAAGAATTGAATGGATTATAGTAGAACAAAGAAGAATTGAATGGATTATAGAAGAAGAAAAAAGAAGAATTGAATGGATTATAGAAGAACAAAGAAGGATTGAATCGATTATAGAAGAAGAACAAAGAAGGATTGAATGGATTATAGAAGAAGAACAAAGAAAAATTGAATGGATTATACAAGAAGAACAAAGAAGGATTGAATAGATTATAGAAGAAGAACAAAGAAGAATTGAATGGATTATAGAAGAAGAACAAAGAAGAATTGAATTGATTATAGAAGAAGAACAAAGAAAAATTGAATGGATTATACAAGAAGAACAAAGAAGAATTGAATAGATTATAGAAGAAGAACAAAGAAGAATTGAATGGATTATAGAAGAAGAACAAAGAAGAATTGAATTGATTATAGAAGAAGAACAAAGAAGAATTGAATCGATTATAGAAGAAGAACAAAGAAGGATTGAATGGATTATAGAAGAAGAACAAAGAAGGATTGAATGGATTATAGAAGAAGAACAAAGAAGAATTGAATCGATTATAAAAGAAGAAAAAAGAAGGATTGAATGGATTATAGAAGAAGCACAAAGTAGAATTGAATGGATTATAGAAGAAGAACAAAGAAGGATTGAATGGATTATAGAAGAACGAAGAAGGATTGAATGGATTATAGAACAAAGAAGGATTGAATGGATTATAGAAGAAGAACAAAGAAGGATTGAATGGATTATAGAAGAAGAACAAAGAAGGATTGAATGGATTATAGAAGAAGAACAAAGAAGGATTGGATGGATTATAGAAGAAGAACAAAGAAGGATTGAATGGATTATAGAAGAAGAACAAAGAAGGATTGAATAGATTATAGAAGAAGAACAAAGAAGAATTGAATGGATTATAGAAGAACAACAAAGAAGAATTGAATGGATTATAGAAGAAGAACAAAGAAGGATTGAATGGATTATAGAAGAAGAACAAAGAAGAATTGAATGGATTATAGAAGAACAAAGAAGGATTGAATGGATTATAGAAGAACAAAGAAGGATTGAATGGATTATAGAAGAAGAACAAAGAAGGATTGAATGGATTATAGAAGAAGAACAAAGAAGAATTGAATGGATTATAGAAGAAGAACAAAGAAGGATTGAATGGATTATAGAAGAAGAACAAAGAAGAATTGAATGGATTATAGAAGAACAAAGAAGGATTGAATGGATTATAGAAGAAGAACAAAGAAGGATTGAATGGATTATAGAAGAAGAACAAAGAAGAATTGAATGGATTATAGAAGAACAAAGAAGGATTGAATGGATTATAGAAGAAGAACAAAGAAGGATTGAATGGATTATAGAAGAAGAACAAAGAAGAATTGAATGGATTATAGAAGAAGAACAAAGAAGGATTGAATGGATTATAGAAGAACAACAAAAAAGAATTGAATGGATTATAGAAGAAGAACAAAGAAGAATTGAATGGATTATAGAAGAAGAACAAAGAAGGATTGAATGGATTATAGAAAAAGAACAAAGAAGGATTGAATGGATTATAGAAGAAGAACAAAGAAGGATTGAATGGATTATAGAAGAAGAACAAAGAAGGATGTTAAAGGAGGAAAAGTTACTGAGAATAGTAAAAGATAAGAAGTCGTGTAGAGCCATGATCGCCTTCTTCCTGAAAGGTTAAAGCACATAAAAGAAGGTACGAATTGATTGTAGAATAAGAAACAAGGTAGGTGGCAAAGGAGGCAAAGTTACTTCGGTTAACAAAAGTCTAAAGTTGTGGAAAGTTATAATTGGCCACATTTTAAAAGGACGTGGCATATAAAAGAATCTGAAGCCTGATCTTTAAGTGAATAATTTGGAAGTCATTTTCTGGGTAAAGAACTTCGCATGTAATCAAATTTAAAAAAAAAAAAATCTGGAATTTCTCATAAAGCAAAAGAAAACCCAATAAATATTTGGGTGAGTTAAAAACCAAATATGTCACTAAATAAAAGTTTATTTACTTTAGTAAAATCTTGATTTTGCCATCGTCGAAGTTTTGACAGTGGCACCTGCTTTCTCAGACAACTTGTTCTGAAATCTTTTGCCTGTTGTTCCAAATTAAAAGAAGCAGACTTTGTCAAAACAAAGACTATCACTCGATCTTGTTATCACTCGATCTTTCCATCAGTCCAAGAGATAATTTTTTTAAATTTTCTATCCTTCTCAACTTTACAACTAATCACATCGATATTGCTGTCTTTTTTGTGCTAAAAGAAAGGAAAATGTGCTTAACAATCTTCAGACTTCATTCAGTAGACGCTCTTTGGTGTTTTTCTTGCGAAATTCTTCGAAAATATCAATAAACCCCGAGTTAAAACTGCTGTCCGAAGCTGAATTGTTTCGTGTTCCAACTTGTCGAATTGGGTGGTACATTGTGGGGAGCGGACACATCAAAAGAATTAATTACATTTGGACTAATCTGCGTCCCCACCCCCGGGCAGAATGAAACCGTCATTTGACCCAACGTGCCTTAAACATTATTTTTTCTTTTAAGTGGATGCTCATACTTGAGTAGACGTCCCGTTTATTTATTAAACAGTACATTTATTTATTTTCGTCTGCCGGCCTAAATATTCGAGAAATCTTAGAAATGAAAAATATGCGTTCTCCACAGATTCTTCTTTAATGAGATCTTTCAAATATTCAGGACAGTAGACAAAAATGAATAAATATAGTTTAATAAATAAACGGAACGTCTACTCAAATATGAGTATCCACTAAAAATAACGTTGAAAGTGATAAAAATTTGTTGGATTGATAAATAAAAATCCATTACTTTTGATTACAAAACTGAGCAAATATGAAAATTTCGAGGAATTTATGACGCGAAGGATTTCTCTTGAAGGCCCTGTTCAAACTTTGCTTGATTGGGTGAGGCTGGTCCGTGGCCAAATCGGTTAAGGCAAGTCGGATCTATTTGGACTAATGTACTCACTATTTCTTTCTTTTTTTTTTAAAGATTGTTCACCCAATAAAAGGCCCAAGAATCCGTCAAGGTAGAAGGTTACTGAATGAGGTCGTTGTAATGAACCTACGAGGAGCAATTAAGAAGTGCATATTATGAAGATATGTAGGAAAGATAAAGGTCGACCATAAACTTGAAGCAGTTAATATTGTAGTGTTTGGGGAAACATCCCTCGGGAGCATGTTCCACAAATAGCCTTTCTTAGGAAGCAGCTGTTCGAATGGAACTTCTGTTATACTAATAGGATACGTGGGAGACTGAAATGATTCATCCATGTATTCGTGACATGGCGGGCCTTAGATGTATAGGTATGAACTGATTGCACTAATGAATGTAGTTCGTTCGAACATTTGCTTTTGATATAGCGGGATAGTGAGAAAGGAATTGCAGAGTAAAAAATAATTCATCACGCACAAGGCCGTGTAGATGATTCTGAACTCTATGAAGGCTGAAAAGTGAGGAGTGGGCAGCTCCAACGCAGATATGGTAACAGAGATCCATTTTTGGTCTGATCTGGCTCTGGTAAAATTAGAGCGGTGATATTTAACCCTCGTACCCCCCCCAAAAAAAAAAAACGGTATGTCAAAAGGACGGTTATTTCCCTGACACCGCTATTACTGTATACACTTTTGACTCCCTCGGCAATGTTTATTGATTTTAAAAAGTGGTGATTAGAATTTTAATGAAAGCCAAATGGTTTTGTACATTTGTTTATTTTAAACGGTATTTACTTTTTGAGATTACTAATTTAATCTGTCGGCAGGTTTTCCAGGTATTTTAAAAAAAATTAGAGACGATTTTGTCGAGAAAATCTCAACTCAAGAAAAAAACAAAAAATCCGTGACGGTGCAGGCCGTGAAAATGAGCAAAGGTACTTACCTTAAGTTGCAAAAAAAGTATCCACTTCCGCGACGTCGCTTCGCCATTAGATAACTTGCATCGTATAACAAAAGTAAAAAAAAAAAAAAGGAAAAAACATTTCTTTTATATAATCACTTCAGTGATCACGTGATGAGAAGACCTTTTAAGTATAAAATGAAGGTGACAACTTTTAATGTCCCAGGTAAGTACCTTAATCCTCCCACCTGAACCGTCAATTTTTCCACAATATAAAATTTTTTTCAAAATTATGTTTTTCAAAAAGAGTAGAAAGGAGGCTAACCTATAATGACTGCTGTTTTTTGTCTTTTTTGTTTCTATTGATTGGTCATCTTTTATCCTAAGTCACGATTATAAAAAAAAATGTAAAATTAAAACAATATATAACATAATTATTTATATATAAAGTAATCTGAGAGGAAATTGTATTTTATCCGGAAAATCGTATGATTATTCAAATTTTCTTGTTCTATAGGTCATAAATACTTTTTATAAAAGTATAAATAAAAAAACAAAACAAAACTTGTTTTCATTGTTACTTATATATAAATATAAAGTAAATATTAAAATGGTAAACATCTTATCCTAAAATGGTAAAATAATAACAAAACGTGTCTATATTTTTCAGATGAGGTATTATGTACAGTATTTACATTATTCGGACTATTGTCCTCATCTTTGTCGCCATATTTATTACAACGTTTCGGCCGTTGTACGCTCCGGCCTTCTTCAGGTGATTGGAATTTCAAATTGAACCCTTTATTTCGCTCACTGGGGTAGACTGTTCTAGTTCCACGTGCCATGTTTTTTTTAATGGATATCAGTTATAATTTATCTCCTGTTAATTCCTCTCTGAAAGTTCTCCACTGCCTTAACCGGGTATTGAACTCACACTCTTTGGTTCCTGTCACTGGATCTAACCAACGCTTTTATCCACTGTGCCACTGAGTGTGTGGATAAAGGTGTTGGTTAGATCCAGTGACAGGAACCAAAGAGTGTGAGTTCAATACCCGGCTAAGGCAGTGGAGAATTTCAGCGGGAAACTAACAGGAGATAACTGATATCCATTAAACATGGCACATGGAACTAGAACAGTCTACTCCGGTGAGCGAAATAAAGGGTTCCGTTCGAAATTCCAAACACTTGAAGAAGGCCGGAGCATACAACGGCCCAAATGTTGTAATAAATATGGCGACAAAGATGAGGACAATAGTCCGAATAATGTAAATAGAATGAATAACAAAATGGTAAGTAATAAATATTACATTGAAGTTGGTTTACATATTTTGATATTTTTATAATTTCTTATAAATTTTTTAATTATATTTCTGTCTATATTTCCGATATGAGGTATTGTAACTATATACATTATTTACATTGTTAGGACTATTGTTATCATCTTTGTTGTCATATTCACGACGTTTCGGTCCTTGTACCCTCCGGCATTCTTCAGATGATATACGTTAGAATTTCGAACCGAAACCTTTATTTCGTCCACGGGGTAGGTTGTAATAGTTCCACGCCTTTTCTGGATATCTCAGTTTCTGTTAATTTCCTTTAGTAACCGAATTCTCCAAGTTTTTGTTCACCTCTGCAATAGCCAGGTATTAAACTCGTAACTCTTTGGGTCAAATCACTGAATTACTTCAACCAACACTTGTATCCACTGGGCATCGGGAACATCAGTGTATAAACTTTTTAGAACTTATAAACCTAATGTTTCAGTTATCATTTTTTATCAGAGCTCATATTACAATTTTTGTTATTTTTTCTTTTTCTCTATCTCTCTGTATTACTGATTCCCATATTCATTTCTATGCTTGGCCAGCTTGGGAGATTTTTGTGACCCAGCATATGCGCTGATTCCTTAAGTTTTCGTATTTTCCAATGATGTTCTCTCCCTATTATTTCAGCTTCATTCCACTTTTCCCTCCATATAGGGTCAGCCATGCTTAATTTTTCTATAGTGTTACGGCTTTACGGAGTTCCTGCAGTCTTATCTTAAGGGGTCGTCCCGTTTCTCGTTTATATTTCTTGCCACAGCTGCATGGGATGAAGTACATACAATCCTTAGTCATATTTTCCTCTATGGGAACTAGAAAATCTACCCCCGTGGACTAAATAAAAGGTTTGGTTTGAGATTCTAACGTATGTCGCTTGAAGAAGGCCGGAGCGTACAACGACCGAAACGTCGTGAATATGTTAACAAAGATGAAGACAACGGTCCGAATAGTGTAAAAAAAATGTATTTCTTTATAAAATGATAAAAATTAAATCTTTATAAATGACAAATATTAAATATCGCATTGTACTGGCTTCACATATATTTATAATCATATAAATAAACATTGCCGAGGGAGTCAAAAGTGTATTCAGTAAAGAAACAAAAATATGGTAAAAATGAAATGCTAGAGACTAGATGTAACATTTGGCTGAAGATGGCGGGAGAACGTATCGGCAAAAACGTTGGAACAAGGAAGACTAAGATAAGAGCCTAAGAAATGTGTGGAAATCGGCAGTGAATTTTGTTTTCCGAGAGAAGTTCGCTTTCTAGCGGGAATGTTATTCTCGTCTGCGCACTTTGAACTGATAAAACAAGCATCAGTTTAGATAGCAGCCGACATGTTGAAGATCTTGGTTTACAATTTACAATGCCAATAAAACGTGTCTTGGTAAAAGAAAAGACGGAAGGAGAAGAGCATATGTCTTCGTTTAATTTAGAAAAAAAGAGCATGAATAAAAATATTAAGTTACTCGCCCCGTTCATCAAATAAAAATGACACACACACACACACACACACACACACACACACACACACACACACACACACATTATATATATATATATATATATATATATATATATATTATCATTATCAGAAATGCACTGATGTAGCCCCGGTAATTCTAAAAACAAACTCACAATAATAAAATAATAACATATGTACTTTTAAAATGATTTAATACCAGTTGCACTACTACTTAGATTATTAATAAGCAGGATTAACTGAATTAAAAATTATCGATGGATAATCGCGCGTTTCAATTTCATTTTTTAAAAACATATTTAATTTTCTGTTTGCTTCTTTGAAAAGGAATTTCGACTCAATCGATGACGATGCGATGTAACAGAATTCGCTAATTTTTACAACAATTTAATTTCAATGCAAACTACAAGAAAAGCATAGAAATGTAATTTAATATATATAATTATGATATATAATTAGGAATTACTGAGAATAAAGAATAGTGACAAAACGTTACAGTCTTCTTCTTCTTCTAAATGGCTCTCTTCACTCTGTCACTCTTTCCATCAATATGCCACGCGAGGGCTAAGCTAGTTTTCCAAGCACTTCTTCATTACCATTCCAATGAATTTCAGATGTTTTTTTTCCTGAGTTTTGAATATAAATGTTTTTCTGGTACCATTTTCTTTAAGACTTAATTGTTGCTCAATCGCGCCGTCCATGGAATTTTCAGAAGCACATTTCTACTGCCAATAGAGAAATTGTTCAACATTCAATCCCATAGATGGGGATGGATATCACATAGAAGCCCAGAACTCTTTTTTTTTGTTTCCGTTGTAGCATACCTACGGACAATAATGGAAAATGTCCCCATTCACATAAATACAGTTGTAATTGCTGTATGTTGGTCTGCAGTTGGGGATTCATTGTGAAATTCACTTGACTCACTTCTAGCAGTTCACTACTTCTTTTACGCTCTGCTGGTGAATCTTATATGTGCTGTTCTTGTCCTAAGTATTATCGTTCATTACTAACCTTCGTTTGATTATTCTATTCAGTAAATTTCCCTAGGTTATAACATTTTGCCGACGAGGATGAGATAAAATTACATCAGTTTCTAAGGAAACGTTTCCGTTTCTCAACATCTTATTTAGATTTTGGAGTGCTTATTTCGCTAGAGCAATATTTATTCGGATCTCGATGTCACATTTTCCATCCCCTGTTTAGGAAAATGTCTAGATATTTGAACTTCTGCACTTACTTGATCTAAAACTCGAATCTTGGGCTTTTTCTCTTCTGATGATCATATTTTCTGGTTTTTTCTTTTCTTTTTTTGCATTTGATGGTTTAGGCCCTTTTTTTCTCGTTTTCTTCTATCCAGTCTAGGAGTTCGAGTCAGCCATCAACACAGTGTCAAATGCGTATTTTATATTGTAAAGATTACGCCGATCAAAATCAATGTAAAGCCTTAAATTTTATTCTTTTCAACTGTTACCCATTTAACACCTTATCACGATGACCTCCTGAATGCAGTCTCGTCTTCCGTATCCACATATGGCACCGCTCAGATTTACAGACGGCCCTAGAACTAAGCATATTTCTTCACACGCTTCAGCACATCTGTCCCAACATTAATTTTGCCTCAGTTCTCCACCCACCCGCAGTTTCACAGTTCCTTTCTGTCACGGCGTCTGGCAAAGGAACGTTGCAGAATGCGAAGTCCAGGGCCAGAATAGTCAGTGACTGGCCAGGGTGGGCGGGGCATTCTGACAGTGATGGATTGCCTTTGTCTGGGTTTTGGATATAAGTAAAAAAACGTCGCAAAATCAACAGATGATCTCAAGAATTCTAAAGCGTCGATATGCTTCCCACATCCAGGTTAGCAACCAGCTAAAACTACCCGCGGAGGGACCCTGAGCTAACGTGCAACATGCGTTCCTGTGACGTCATTCCTCCCACTGCCTCTTAGAATCCAAGTTGTCACTCTTAATAAAACGAATAGTATAAAAGAAATGGTCCTCTTCCTTGATATGTAGTAGGGTGGAGACCCAGTGACAGCACAGAATGCAACAGAAATTAGATCTGAAGCCATGAAACTAATTTATGAATCGTATTTTCGTTTTCACAAACCATGAGACAAAATATGAGAAATTTGTCTCGTATCAATTTAAGCTCTTTAAAATATTTCGACCAAGATTTTTTATAGAAGTCTTATTATATTCCTGGGTAAAGTGTGCTCTTGCCTTTTACGGTCAGTCTAATCCTATGCATATGAAACAACGTTGATAGAAGCCATGGAAAGGAAAATACGAAATGTCCTACAGAAAGTAGCAAAGAAAAGCGAGAAGAAAGGACTAAATATAAAATACAAGGCAGAATGCATGGTTATCAGCAAAAGCCTAAAATGCAAATTACAGATCGGGGATACTAAAATCAAAGAAGTGCAGAAATTTAAATATCTGTGGAATAATGTATTATTCCATCTACTACATTTTACGCGCGCGCGAGTTTCCTCCCTTTCTTCCACACTCGCGGGTGCGCGCGCGCGTTTGACACCCCTTTCTGCCTCTTTCGGTCTAATACAGTAGTAACTGTTTTGGTCGGCAGTCAAAACGACCTGCTATTCCTGTTTATGCAAATTAGATTTTTGAAATCTTCCCGCGAAAAATTTGTGACGTCAACGACAAACTGTTGTTTCAGAAAAGTTAGTTGTGATCCAGACTCGGACCTAAGCAGACTCATTTTGTCCATGTCAATATTTACTGGTTGACTGACGAAGGATATCTTACGATGCGAACACAAATAATTAATTCTCCGTCCCTTTTTGGCTCGTCATTCAAAGTCCTCCTACGAGACGATGCGAACACCAAATAATTAATTCCTCGTCCTTTTGGCTCGTCATTCAAAGTCCTTCTACGAGATGATGCATCACCAAATAATTAACTTTTCGTCCCTTTTTGGCTCGTCATTCAAAGTCCTTCTACGAGACGAAGTAACTCCAAGTATTAACTTTTCGTCCCTTTTGGCCTCGTCATAAATCTGTTTTGAACCAGTACAAAAAAAGAAAAAGATATATATACATAACATTTCACTCACATTAACAACAAACTCGCAGTGAGTATTTTTCCTTGTATGTATATTATCATGTACATTGACTTATCTGGAACCTTCTTCTTCTTCAAGAACTTTCCCGCCTTAGCCATCTTGGTTTTTATTTTGGCGCGGAATATTTTCATTGATCCCTACTACGGGATAAGTTACTTGTTTTTCCTGCATTTAATAAAAATTACTCTTGTTTGAATCCAGTCTTTTTCTGTCATTCTGTGTCGGCTATCTTAATATATTTTATTTTATGCACGTGTGGATTAACCACATTTCTTCGTAGTTCATTCACACATTTTTATTTTTTTTACATTGCTTGTAGACTCGGTAGTTTAGTGTGGTGTTTGGCACAAGGCCACTTCGTAATAAACCAGCACTGCACGCTGCCGGGTCTGCAACAAGTCCTTCAAGTGTTGTAACAGAGGACGGAAAATGCGACACTGAGATCAGAAGTCACATTGAGATGACCAAAGCTCATTCCAAAAACTAAGCAAAGTATTAAGAGACAGAAAAATTTCGTTAGAAACAAAGAAAAGAGTACTGAACTGTTACGTGATGCCTGTCTCCCAGTATGGCAGCGAATGCTGGACAATATTCTCAAAGATGAAGAAGAGACTTGAAGCAACAGAAATGTAGTTCTACAGAAAGATGCTGAGGATACCATGGATCAAACATTTGAGCAACGACGAAGTTTTGGAGAAAATAGAAACAAAAAGAAAACATGCTTAACGTTAGGAAGAAGCTGTTGGAATTTCTGTGGGACCTAATGAGGAAGGAGGGCTTAGAAAATCTGATACACACAAGAACGATTGCGGGAAAGAGGGTCAGGGGAAAACAGTGCGTAACGTACTTAATGAACTTGAGCAAATGGATGATAGAACAGGGTTTGGAAGAAATAACAAAAAGATAAAACATATTAAGAGCTACAAGGGGCAGGAAGATGTGGAGGGCCATGATCGCCTACGTACTGAAGGGAAACGGCACCTAAAAGAAGAAAATGAAAATACCGGAAACTTATTTGATATAAATATCTAAGAGATTATTTTAGGGCTCAGACAAAGTTCTTTATGTGCTTAGTGTTGTAATCGACTGTAAATAAGAAAATTGGGCTAGGAGTAGTTTCTCACAATACCACGAATTGATACAAAACTAAAACATTAGCCTAAAAACTCGAGTCATATTCTTAAATAGCCTCGTCAGATCGAGATTTTCATATCGATGTTACAGGTGGCATTAAACGCGTGCAAAAATATCTAAATTGTCAGTTGTATATAATCTCAGATCAATGAGTAAAGACCGCTTTGATGAAATGAAGCCTGTAGGTATTAGTGAGGACAATCCTCCTTTGAAACTCGTGGAATGGCGCTACAGAATCACAAACATTGTACCAGATAAAAAGATACAACATTACTTGAGGACATTTAACGGCTTCAACAAATGAAATGGATAGCACATGTAAGTCAAAGAGAAAATAATGACATTCTACATTATGAGTATTAGGGAGAAACTCTCTTTAATAGACTATCCTTCTTTGAACATTATGGACTGGCGCTTCACAATCAAAAAGGACTTGAGAAGATAATAGACGCCATAGCACTTGAGGACTTTCAATAGCAGCAACAACTAAAATGAATAGCACGTGAAACTCAAAGGGAAAATAATGACATAATCAAAATATTGACATTCCACACTACTTTGAGAATTAGGAAAAAAACTCCCTTTAATAGACCATCCTTCTTTTAACCTTGTGAACTGGCGCTACACAGTCACAAATAACTGTATCAAATAGCAGCAACCACATTAATTGAGCAGCAACAACTAAAATAGATATCACGTGTAACACGAAGTGAATA